GGTTTTCATGAGAATTCTTGTTCAATAATGATAAAAATGATGTTGGTATATATGAAGTTCAACTAGAGGTAGGGAGGTTATCTAATGTTGAACAGATATAATATAGTCCTCAATCAAAACACAGTAGACCTCTGGAAAATACAAAGTTCGAAAATAGACAAATAACAAAGCTGGACGTTTGAAAACTCAACACGAAATGAACATAAACACCATTACCAAACAATGTAAACAATCCGCCAATGGCCCATAGAGTAGTACCGACATTCGCCGTTCTGGCGCTACGATCTTAATCTCAGTCGCCTATTGTCGGGTAAGCTTTGGAATTTTAAACAGTTTGTTAACTTCATTGGTCATTGCAATGATTTAACTACGTTTAAATCCTACGTTTTCGTTGGCAGGCAAAAGAATATTGTATGGTCGAAGAAAATCAAAGAGGGTAACATTTTTTAGTTGTCGATGGCGAATTTTAGTGAATTTGTTTCCATATCATATCTACGTATTTGTGACCAAGTGACCAATATTATCAAATCAGACAAACATTGCACTGATAAGTGACCGGGTAAATGGTCACTGTTGAAAAATCGAGTCGCCATGGTAATAACATAGTTACTACACAGCTACTTACTGAATATTCCTCGACTATTGAACACCCCTAAAAGCAACTCGCTTCCGAATGTATGCGTCAAATTATTTCGAAATTATCAATAGCCTTGGGATAAGTGAAAATTCCACACTAGTAATTTTTAACCAATCGAATATTGGGTTTTTGTTTGACAAATCATCATAGCAACGTATGTATTTCAGTGGAGTTTTTTCCTCTTGGGTACCCAAACCCAACAGCGAATAAAATTGGAATCTTTTCGACGTTTCAATGACAGAATAATTTTACGTCCTAAAGTGTTTTGTGCTTCTACAATGAGTAGAAATCAACAATTAATAGGCTATAGGTGCTGATACGCTTCAACAAGAAGATCTAATTACACTAAGGTGGACGGACATACTGACCTTCATCATAAGGTCACAGAGGTTCGAATTGGAGAATGAGGAGAAGAATAGATATGTGTCTTACCAAAACTCATTTGTCCATAGGACGGCACATCGAATCATTTATTCAGGGAAGTAGTCCCAAGAAACTCAAGAACAATGAGTTAGAAAATAATTGTAATAAGCACCTTTTCCAACTTTCAACCCTTAGTTTTGCACGATGTTCCACGAACACGTCAAACTCGTCCGCCATCTTGGAGGCATCATATTGAATCCTCGAAATTTGACTAGAAATTCCCATTCCTCATCATCAAAAACACAAAGACATAATTTCGTCCACCATCTTGGAGGCGTCATCTTGAATAATTTTGTAGCGCAAATGTAAAAAAAAATTGTCACTGGAACTATAAAGACCTGCCGAATTTCATCTCAATTGGTCAATAGAATGTGGGTGAAAATTCGATTACAAAATTTATCAACAGTTAGAATGAATCTCGATAAGAGACATCCGAAATATTTAGCTGTCCAGATATTCATTTCATGAATTGATTCCATATTTCACATTACTTCCTGTTTCCTTTTCTATATTTGATGTAGGGACATACGACAACTTACTTGTCACCAATCATTAATCAGTAGGACTCTCAAATCGAGAAATGCGACGTTGCCAATTCTCTCAGCACGGCTCTGGAGTTTTAGAATGTTGTGACTCAACTGTCACTGCTGGTCACACTCACGATAAATGGTATGTTGATAAGTATTTTAAAATTATGCAGATCTTATTCGCCATTGAAATATGCATTTCGAATTATCAATCACTAGCCATTTCATAAGACCTTTGACGATGAAAAAGGTTACATCCATCAAGCACTTTCCATGACGCCTCTTCTAGAGTTTAGGAGTTTTAGAATGCTGTGACTCAACAGTCAATGCTACTCAGACTCACGATAAAAGATCTGCTGATGAGTATTTAAAAATCAACCAAAAATTGTCGAGATAATCAAAAATGTTAATGGTTCCAAAAATTAAGGCAAATCAGTCCAACAAAAAATAACGAATATGGCGATGAACATGTTTTTTACAGTCAAAACATCCACGACAGTCATATACAACACAAATGTGTTACTCCTGACGAAGATTCAAGAGAATGTCGATCTAATTCGTTATTGAAACATGCATTTTGAATTATCAATCATTGTAGGAGAGTTGGCTGTAAATTTCGACCGTCATTTGTAAACAAAATGATATATGTTCCAAAGGCATGTAGAAACATTGTATTTTATCGAACAGAACCTGTGCTAAACACTATCTTGAGCAAAATGATTGAAAAATGGCAGTTTCCTGTGCGGTAATTTGCTCTAAAGTTCGCTATTTGATAATGAGATAAGAAATATGCCATCCGATAATTGAATGGTATATCTCAAAACCCTAACTGTGCCTGACATACTTTTCGTCATGAAAGGGGATAATCTTCGATCATACAACAGACTAGATGAGTAATCCGTAGCCCTCGCAATACAGTTTGTTTGGAACCAACATCGAAAGTGTTCATTTCATGCTAAACAAGGATAGCAACAGCTGATTCTCCCAGCAACAGTAGCGTAGGGTAAAAAGTGCTTCATGTTATAATAAATTCGTGACCCACTTTTGAATAGCAGCGAATATACAATACATAACTCTCTCTCAGTGATCCTTCCGCAATCTTTAGTGGCAATAGATATGAAACACATTTTTCTGAAAACTTGATTCAAATTTCGAATATTTCCAAAGATGATTATAGAAAAACTGATTATTCGCGATTTAATTTCAATTCTTTCATGACGTTATTTGAATAGATGTTTCAAAACAAATTACACATTTCCATTGATACTTTCCGGTTCTACAAGATGGTGTTATCAGATTTTCAAACAGACTTTTTTCTTCGAGCTGCCATCCCGCCATCACCAACTTCGTTTTTTTTAATGGCCCTGGATTTTCCATCATGAGTTCTAATAGCTCTCAATTTCCTGAAATCAACGGTGTATCGGAATCATTCAAACAATGTATATTGATTGCATTGGAACTCATGGGTTAGGGAGAGTAAATTATATTTTCAATAGGATTGAAAACAGATACTTTTTCCGCTAAGTACAATACACCATTGATTTGAGTAGATTGAAATCTCTTAAAATCCATGATCGTATTGAAAAAAAAACAAAGTTGATGATGGCAGCTCAAAGAGGAAACGTTATTTCGAAAATCGGATAACACCATCTTGTAGAACAGAAAAAGTCGCCATGAGAATGTGTCAACCAAATAGAGTGATGAAAAATAAAAATGAAATTTTTTATCGCTTTTTCTCCAAAAATCTTTGGAAGCATTCGGTAATTTCCAAATTTCAATACGGCAATTTCCTAGGCACAAAATTGCACAACTTTACCATAATTTAACCGACCCCATATCTCTACCGGTTCACGAGATCCCAACGAATAAAGTTCGAATTCCAGCCTCCCTGTTCAAACATAAGAATCCCAGAAATAACGTTTCTGATGAAATTGCTTCCTTTCCGATACATTTTAGAAGAGTGGATTGATAAATCATAGATGAAGAAACCCAAAATCATCTTCCACGAACATCATAGTAATTTTTTTCATCATGAGACACATGTCGCAGACACCTTATATTATGTAATCATGATTTATTGGATACCTATGTATTGCTTTCACCTCTATTTGTGGAAACGATGTTGAAATTTCGTATGATACGACACTGGCCGCTTACTTGTGAAATGACGTGTTTTGATTATTAGGTTTAAATTGTCTTTCACACATCTCACAACATCTCACCATTGTTAAAAGTCATCAATATCAAGTAATCAATTCATAATAGCCACATAAAACAGAACACAACTAAGAAAAATCCTTCCAAACAAAACGTAAACATCACAAAATATTTATTGCTGTCGATTGTCAAATGCCGAGTGCGGTGTTGCGACATTGGCCGAATTTTATTGAAAATTCCCATATTGACATACTGAAACTCTCGACAAGATGACCAGAATATTTATGAATCACTATGGATTAATTCTTCAGAATTGTTACTATACCTGATTCGACTAACAAATGTATGCATGCGTGGAACTGGTTACTGGATTCATGAACAGGCAACAAATATGAAGAGACAAGGCATTGATTACTTTTTAATCAGACGGCATGACAACACTGGCTAGGATTGGGAACTAATATTATGATTGTTGTGAGAATTCATGTTAGCATCAGGATATTTGTTATGTTATGCTTCTAGGGGGTTTGTTGTTCGGAGGGGATAATGTTCCCTTCGCGAATATCAAAACGTGCCGCGATTCAAATTGATCTAAGTCACTGGCAGAGCATTATTATTGTCGAGAATATTTCGCCCCTGTTGAATGATTATTTCCAATGATCCAGATTATCGAACCGATGGTCCATTGATCCGATGATCCTTCGGATATTCTCTTTCTCGGAAATATTGCCGCTCAGCCACTTACTTAGATCAGTTTCAATCACGGTACGTTTGCTGATGATGAATATTCACGAGAAGATGAATATTCACGAAGGGGACATTATCCTCTTTTATTTGCATTTTGTTGGAACTCGTTTTTACATGGCGGAAGTATATCCGAAATGACAACAGGGAAAAAATCTCTGTACCGCGAATTTGACTCAGGTTAAAAGGTGGCCTCGAGAATTTTGGTTTGGTATCATCACGTCATCAAATACCTAGAGAAATTTGAAGCAGATTACCACGCAGACAAGTTCCATATTTCAATCAATTTGCTCAGGATTGTGATTGGTACAGGTTTCGTTCGATAAAATATAAAGTTTTTACATATCTTTTGGACATATGTCATTTCGTTGTCATATGACGGTCGGAATTCGCAACTGGCTCTTGGACTATCACTACCCATTTCATAAGAACTTCGACAAAGACAAAGGTTACATCACCAAGCACTTTCTTTGACGCCTCTTCTGAGGTTCGGGTCTAAGCACCGCTCGCACGGCTTCGTCGAAAACTTGTTTTAGTCCCCGCTGCGTCAGGGCCGAGCACTCCATGTACTTGACGGCCCTTATTTTGTTGGCCAGCTTCTGGCCCTGCTCCCTCTTAATCGGACTGAGCCCTTGATCGGCCAGGGCGTTCAACGTTTCTCTATCGTCTCTTAAATCTATTTTCGTTCCTGCAACAGAAAAATCAACAATAGTTCCAACAGCCAAAGAAGACCTGGGATGAAAGGAAGAGGAAGAAGACTTCAGTCCTCGAAGCCTAGAGTAGGTGAACAATTTAGTTTTGCATATGTCGATTCCATCAAGTCATGAACGCTATGAACGACGCGCTCGAGATTCTGTTTTCAAATTGACAGTGTTGATGTTCACAACATTTATATTTTGCTCTGGGCTCACGTTCTTTCCTGCTGTCATCTTCTAGAAGCCTGACTAAAATAAATAATGTTTGGAATGGATTAGATATTTGTTAGGTACAGTTTTGAACCATACAAAACAGACATATTGAAAAAATATATACAAAGTGTCAGGTTTTTGTAGCAGGACAGCTTGAAGGACATATATTTTCGAGATGAAAACCTTATGTAAACATTTAGTGTGTCCCACTTTGAGCAGCACCATCATTGTATTTTGTGATGGTGCTCCATTCATTTCATGCACAAATCTCGCTATTGCATGCATTTTATCGTATGTTCAAGGTATGTTATGACGTTCTGTAGTGCAGAAATCCTGTAAGTGCTGCATTTACGGGGGCCTCGACTAGTGTGCACATTACAATTATACTTGCATATTATACGAATAAAAATGTTGAGATAGCTGATTTTACGCAATTTTTAGTACAGTTACTGGATGGTATTAGTAGATAAGAGTTCGAACACAGCTGAACTTCTGTCCATTTCATTTTCATCAATTTTAATATCATTTAATAAAGGATCTGTTGTCACCAGTTGAAGCGTCTTGAACTCCGTAGTTGAATTCCTATTTGGGGTTGATAAAAAAGAATATAAGCATCCTCTCCGTCTAAAACCTCAACACTGGTAAGCGAATCCAAGCAATGAGACAACCTGAGTTGGCTTGATCGCTGTGGTATCGGTAAATACAACTCTCGAATTGGTTCGAACGTCACCGAACAATTGCCACAAAAGGTGCATCTCAAAGTAGACTTGAACTGCCCGACAAAATTATCGACGAACTTAGAATTGTTCATTCTCAAGAATCTCAGTACTGGCTTTGGGTTAGGGTTCGATTTCTCTACGACCATGTTGACGTCCTCGTGCAGCCCTTCTAGCAGATAACATAATAATTCTTGTGCATCCTGTTGCGAGGAGTCTATGAATTGCGGCGCGAACTTTTGAATTTTTTGTTTCAAATCGTCCAAACACACGACTTGGACAGACGAATCGTTCGACCATAGCTTCTCTATAACATTTGCAAATGCTTTTATCAAAGTCCCCTTCTTGCTGGATGAGCTTTTGTTCAAATCATTGATATAACAATTTTTCCTCAAATATTCCAACAACCACTCAGTTTGAGACAGGCATTGAACGACGCTATTCATAAAACAAGTGTTCCCGATATTTTTCAATCCGATTAGGCCTGGTTCCAGAACAGGTGGCAACTGCGATCTGAGGGCAATGCTGTCCGGATTTCTGAGTGGTCGGAGGTAGCAAATCATCGTCTCTGTCACTAGTTTGGCGATGGATAGGATTCGAATTTACGTTGACGGATTGGGAGCTGGAAGGCGTTGAATTGAAGATTTCATCATTCAGCTGAGTATAGAATTCCGAGGTTCTTTATGGACGTTTAAAAATTTCATCCAATCATTGAGTGGAAGGAATAGAACCCAATATTGATGATGCATTTTTTGGATTGCGATACTAATAGAAGTATAGTTATTATAGCATTATGTAACTATGAAATTGAAAATACCAAATTTTAATACCAACTAAAACTATACTTACCCAACCAGTTTTGAAATACAGTATTTCAAGGGATTTGGAAAATAAACAAAGTCGTTACCAGATCAGCTAGCTGTCCGGCCCGGCCTCGCAGTCCTTCTGAGTTATGCACGAACAGTACATATATTTTTATTTTTTTAAATTGTTTGTGCTTGCGCGCATACGGCACAGAAAAGTTGATAATAGGAAATTCAATTAATGTAATTAAAAATTAAATGCCTTTCAGAGATCAATAGATGACTCACCAGTACCATCTGAACTCGCCGTTGCTGGGTACCCAGGTCGATCTTCTTGCTTGATAAGGGATAAGGGTCAGTCAATTGCGCTATTAGAAAATAGCGTGGGTGATATATGCGCGCGCGTCTTATCACTTCTGCTTTTACAATTTGAGTGAATTCAAAAATGTCTTCTCTCCGCGTTCTCACAAAATCGCTCATGCGCGTGTCAATCGAAATGAGACCTGAAAGGCTCGATATTTGATGTGTACCAAGTGGCACAAATAATATTGTTGAATTATCCAAATAGATTTATGTAAATGAAACTAATATTAAAATAACCAAAATAAAATATTGAACGATTGAATGAATCATAATATTATCATTATGATAATTACCCAAAAATAAACTAATTATATACAGTGCTTACCTATAGCTCCAGCTATAGCTCCTATTATATACTTACACATTTTCTCAGTCTCCCAGTATCTTTTGTATTTCTTCCACTACTAGCTATAAGACCCATCATTATTCACTCATTTTTGAGGTGTAAATTGTTTTTACTACCGAGGTAGTTTTCGTCCGTCCTAGTATTCAGTATTCCAACAGAAAATAATCAAAATTTTATATTGGCAACACATGGAGAAGAAGACCATTCTAACCTATTTTATATTGAGGTTAATTTTTTTTATCTCTTGGATAGGACAGGGAGAGGAGGTAGGTGTTGGATTTTTTTTGAACTTATGGAGATTATAAGTTCTTGGGAATACGTCAATTTTTTCCCATTTCCAATATTACCAACATAAAATTTCCATTATTTTACGTTGGAACACTGAAGACAAGGACAGGTGGGGAAGACACTTTCTTTCTCTCTCAAAGCTAGCTGAACTGCTTTATTGAGAAGAAGTGCTTTCATAGTGACAATAGGTCCATATTTCAGTATCACAAAACTAAAATGATTGAAATGTATTGCTAGTGGTGAAAATTTGATATACACCTTTGTAGTAATCGAGGTAATAATAGTATATTATACACCTAAGGTGAGAAGTTAGCTATTATATAGCAAGCATCTTTATATAAAAGGTGTTTCCTAACTGCAGGGGGTGATTTGTTAGGTCATTTCAAGAAGGAAACTTCGTATGAACATAATATATCCGGAGTTGCTTCGTTTCTGAGATACAGGGCGGTGAAATTAAAGAAAAGAAAACGGTAATTATAAAATATCATGAATATCCTGGAATCGATTTGGTTGAAATTTGGTACTTTTATATGTCAAATTTTCTATACATATCAAGTGTCAATTATATTTTTGGCGGAAATGATGAAAAACTCATTTCTCCAATGCAGGTGTTCATGATATGTAATTCAGTGGCTTTGATTTTTTTTTCTGTAAAACGAAGCTGGATATGGAGAAAATACAAGAGACCAAAAAGTTGTATTTTGAGTTGTCTGATCTCACAAAAATAAAAATTTATCAAAAAAAGTCAGTGGCGCACTTTTTTTAAACAATATTGTTGGCTGTGGTGCCCACTGTGACGCCACTGGCCCCAATAATTTCAATCTAAATAGGACTAAATAAGCGCCTTATTAGTTCAAATAAAAGTACAAAATTCCAACCAAATCGGTTCTAGAATATTCATGATATTTTATAATTACCGTTTTTTTTTCTTTAATTTCAACAGAGAACAATCTCAGAAACGAAGCAACTCCGGTTATATGTTAATAGGAACTTTTCTCCCTAAAATAACCTAACGAATCACCACCTGCAGTTAGGAACCGTAGTTAGGAAACACCCTGTATAATGTGCGAGCAATACATCAGCATTCTCACCCGAGGTAAACAGGGTGTTTCATTGGGGAAGGTAAATAATTCAACTGTGGCTAGGGGTCACTGAGTTGATTTAAAAAAAAAACATGGTTAATGGGTCTTCCACATCATATAACCAGAGATTTTACACTCCAACTGAGATATAGGATGTTTCATCAATTTTGCCCATATCTTTATTGTCTCATAACTTTCCAACCAACCTGTATATTTTTTTCAAAATTGGTACATTTACTCAATCTAACTTGTGGAATTGATTGAAGCATCAACAAGATAGAATCCAGGTCCGGTTTCACTTAAAATTCACAAAAACATTTCTGCCCAAAAACAACACCCTATACATTTGAATTTCTCAATTGTTTGGCCATATCTGAGGAGAGCATCAAGATGTGTATTCTACGATGTACTTTTCATTCATGCACAGACGATTCTTACTACTGATATTATGTGCTCAAAATATTATTTTTGTCCATTTTGGGAAATAAAGTGAAATCAGATGAAGATTTATTAATTTTATGACTTCCTATTCAGTCTACGTGAGTATTACGTTTGGGAAGAGTGTTTCATAGCGTTCTTTGTATCCATCCAGACTAATAAAAAATATAGTTGCAGGTCCATCATCAAAACTATACAGGGCTTTTCATGATGAGCGTTAATTAGACGTTTTCGGCAAACCAGGCAACGGATAAATCCTCGGATAAATCTGAAGATTCCATGGTATGTATAAATGAACATAATCTACACATCTGAAATATTCGAAACGATCCGGCGTTGCCGCTTCTACTAGAAAGTAGCAGCAACTTCGATCTTTCAAATGGGACACCCCTGTATTTCATTACATTCTTGGATTATTCCTGAAGAGCTGATTTCATCGATTCACAACATTCGGGGTCTAGCGGGACTGATAACTGAGATATAGGGTGTGAAAAATCGAGATGTTTCAACTTTAGAAATTTTTTGTGTTGAAACTATTTATTATTGCATGGTCAAAACGGCTTCCATGTCCCTATCTCAACTTTCCATTTACTATCAATAATTGATATTCAATTGAAACAGATACAGAATTCTGCATTATGAACCAACCTGTATTTGTTTCAATTAAATGTCAGATAGTAAAAACAAAGTTATGATAGGGACATGGAAGCCGTGTTGATCAATAATAAATATTTTCACCACAAAATATTTCTAAAGTTGAAACATCTCGATTTTTCACTCTAAATATCTCAGTTATTAGTTCCACTTTTTGGACATGAATAATAGTACCTTCTGAAAACGGACCCTCTTATGACATAGAAACCTCATCTCGCCATAGTTAAAAGAAAATACCAAACGCCTGATGGAGACTGAGGCAACTGATATATTAAACTGTGATCTCCTGCTAATTCACTCTGTCAGAAATCATGTATCATTCATCTCTGTCTAGAATAGTCTTGTTTCAGTATTAGAGTTTTGACGTCACATCATCGCCGCGTTTTCAGAGTTCCAAAAAATCGGGAATTTCAATAATTTTTTGTAAATACATAGGGAGCTTACAGCAAGAAACGGTTTGCGGTGGTGAGCTAGTTTGGGTGAGTTCTATTGAATTATGAAATACATTTTTTTTGTGATATAAGCCCATCAACATTAAGTTATTAATCAATACAATTTTGAAGAATATTTGAATAAAGGGAGAGAATATAACAAAATATATAGCAAAACTTGGTGAAAATATATACATTCATGACTTTGTCAAGAAAATATTAGAAGCAGGCATTATCCCTGATAAACATGGCCTACTTTTCACCATGGGAAAATGCTTCATTGCTATGGAAAAATGGGTATGAGATATGTATATTTATTTATACATTATGATAATTCTTACTTCCGGTTGTCCTACTACCCTTTTCCCATAGGAATGAAGCATTTTCCCATGGTAAAAAGTAGTTTATGTTCATCAGGAATAATTTCTGCTTCTAATGGTAAAATAATTTTTCAAAGCAGTCCAGTAGTTTACAAACAAACCAACAAACAATCAAATATTTCCTCTTTATAATATATAAGTATAGATTTTTTCAATATCAGTATGTCAACAACATGTATGCCAAACAAAATAATGTTGATAAAGGATTAACCAGTCACAAACAAAGTTGCAAAAATCACAATTTTTTTGAACAAATGGAAAAATCTGATTTTTTTTATTGAATTGTGAGTTTTTGATGTATACTGATTTTTTCCTCAAATATGGAAATAATGAATTTTAAAATCACTTATTTTTATTATTTTTCTCTATTTACCCAAAACTATTTGATGTTTGGAGTCAGTCTCATCTCATCCTCATCATTTTTGAATTCCCTGATGAGTTATCTGCTTCATTGACTTGTTCTAACAGCAATTTATAATTTGATTTAAATCAGGAATAAAACTGAAAAAATCTGTTGATCATGATTTGAATCATCTGATCTAAATCCTTGCAACCCTGGTCACATAAGTCATATTTTATTTCTCTTGTTCTGATAGAAATAGAAGGATGAAATGATGATTCAAGTGATAGCAGTGTAAAAATTGAGGAAATGAATCATACCTATGGATATAAAGAATTGTATAAAAAATTTGTTATCTTCACAATGAAAACTATGTAGATAGTATTGGGAAATTCTTACCAACTAATATCATGGGTGCATCTGGACAGTGGTGCTTAATTTCAGGATACCATTTGGAAGTCACATTTTCAAAAGAAGATGGGGATGCTACACTGAAGCATATTAGAAAAACATCAGTCTGAGGGTAAGATAGAGGTCTCAGTCTATCATAGTCTTCTTGGCCTGCTGTATCCCATAATCCCAAGCTAACAGAGATACCATCTACTACCATAGGGGCAGAGTAATTATCAAATCTAAAATTAGATGATTGAAAACTTTCCTTCATAGGACTGTTAGGTTTAGATTTTTTTGGCATATCTACAATGAAAATAAAACTTACACTGTTGGTACATATTCTCCAGGAAAACTATCTGTAGTATATGATATAAGCATGCATGTTTTCCCTACAGTTCCATCTCCAACTACAACACATTTGATCGGCCGGCCTGATGACATATTTATTTCTTCCTAGAATGACATGAACATTTCACAATGGTAACCTTAAAGTTGTGGGCAGGGCCCTTAGAACTCACCTTTTAAGACGATATAACTGAGAACTGATTTATAAAAATACAAGAACTAATCTGAGTATCAATATAAAATAGATATGATTCTATCATGAAATTATGGGATATTGAAAGTTTGAATAAAATATTTCCATCGGCCATCAACCTCACTCTCACGGCGATGTTTTGTTTTTAGATGAATGAAGTGAAGTTTGCTAGGAAAGGAATAAAATCTTGAAATCGGCTATGAATGACAGATTTCGTATCATTTGTCACCTTTCGTCTTCTTCTACTTTAAATTCTTCGTGCTCACTGATCTATATACGAATATAGATCAGTGGTGCTACCGGCAAACAACCGGCAAATATAGAGTTTATATACAGGGTGATCTGGGTGGTTCAGGTTTTGAGGCACAAACTGAAATGGGAGATAGATCTCATCCTTTTAATCAAAAAAGTTGGTTTATATAAACATTACTCCGATCTCGTTCAGTAGCGGAGCTACAGGGGGTCAAAGTTTAATTATTTTTTTTCTATTAATTGAAATATCTCGCTTACTTTTCAAGATATCATTTTGAAATTTGGTGTGGTCAATACTTCCTAGAAGACCATCATTTCAAGCAATTTAAATATTTTCAAAATCTACAGGGTGATACGTTTTTGGAAGTAGAGGCTTCTTTATCTCCTCCAAACTTTTTCGTAGTACGGCTCTGGAATCTTTCAGTGATCAAATTGTATAGATCGTTCAATTTAGAGGCTTTTTTTGCAACTCAATATTTTTCGAGAAACGTTTTTGAGATAAATAAGCATATACGTTCTGAAACATGTTAATTTTGCCTATGTTTCGCTTAAATATTTTATTCTTTGACAAAATTCGTTGAAAATGCCGGAAAATGCAATGAAATGTACCTACTCACTAAAATTGAAATCACACAGAACATTGCAATCTCAGAACATTTTGTTGCATTTTCAACGAATTTTGTCAAAGAATACAATTTAAGCGAAACATAGGCAAAATTAACATGTTTTCGAACGTATATTCTTATTTATCTCAAAAACAGTTCGTTTCTCGAAAAAATTGAAGAGCAAAAAAAGCCTCTGAATTGAGCGATCCACACAATTTGATCACTGAAAGATGCCAGAGGCGTACTACGAAAAAGTTTGAAGGGGATAAAGAAGCCTCTACCTCCAAAAACGTATCACCCTGTAGATTTTGAAAATCTTTAAAATGCTTGAAATGATCTTTTAGGAAGTATTGACCACACCAAATTTCAAAATGATATCTTGAAAAGTGAGCAAGATATTTCAATTAATGGAAAAAAATAATTAAACTTTGACCCCCTGTAGCTCCGTTACTGAACGAGATCGGACTAATGCTTATACAAAACTTTTTTGATTAAAATGATGAAATCTATCTCTCGGAAGAATGAGTTGGAAGCTAAATGGTGGATGACGGTGAAAGAACCAATGAACTCAATACAACTGTCTATAGAAATCGTTCCGATGTTGATCATCTGGAGGGATCATGAGTGCGATTCGCACATGTCACTATTGCCATTTGTCATTGTCAGGTCAGTCAGTTGTCAGGTTGTCGGTTGTCGTCACTTGTTTACATTTTCCGGCATTTTGAATTTTGCTACATTTCCTTGCTTGATCTATCTTCCAATCTGCTTGCTGAAAAATATTTGTTTGGTCTCTGCTTTTGAGTTTGGACTGTTTGGCTGTGGCAGTTTTGAGTGTTTTTGAAAAGAATTGGATAGATTTAAGGTAAGATAATTTATCAATTTCTGAATTTCCATGATGATGGGCAATTATTGTAAAATTTTTGTTCCAATGGGGGCAGACCAAGGAACGAAACGAATTTAATTTGATAGGTGCAGCAGAATATATTCAGGCACCTAGAACCATGCACCAAAACTATTGGTAAATTGAATTACATACATGTTCATACATACATACATACATACATACATACATTACATACTAGGGTTGCCACCTAGGTTGCAACAAATACTTTCATATACATATAAATTTGAAGGTGAATGGTAAATATCACTATAGTATATAAGCTCACACATAAGGGTACCTACATATTTATTTGTTGCACAAACCAAGTAAAAACTCAGAAATATTTTTAAAACAAACTTCTCAATCAACAGTTTCAAAACGAAACTATTCAAAGTCACATAGATGATACCAAATCGATAAATATTCAATTTTTGAGCAAACTTTCAGTAACATGATAGTAGTGGACAAGGTAGTTAGTTGATGCTGGACTTGATGTCAGTGGTGAGACCTGACAAAAATCCCTACCATTTTCTAAAACCTCTCCTGGATGACCCTAAATCTTAGGCATGCCTGGGGAAATCTGGACAGATGGCAACCCTAGATAAGATACTACTGAAAGTGAATCATCACCATCACCACTTGCAAGAGGCACATTATTATTTATACCTTTATACCTATAACTCATGTGCATTGGTCTTTTCACTTTTGTCAACTCTGCTCTGTAATGATGTGTCACTGAATAAAATGGCAAGTTGCAGAAGAGCAGTTAAGGCAACGGAGCCTGTAAATATGCATAATAGCATCATAATAATCAAGCACTGTAAGGCTGTAAAGAGAATAGAACAAATCTCACCAAAACAAGAGAACAAATACCTGTATGGCTCATTTACCAGCAAGCAAAATCCTTGAATACATTGAAATTATTTTGAAATTGTTTCAAAAATTAAGTAGGTACATGCTTCAAAACTATAACTTGTTCAATATTTTAAATTCATAGTGTCTCTTGATTTTGTTCAATCCAATTCACCCCAAAATTTGCAAAAAATTGAATTTTAGTCATTTTGAATAGTGGAATAGTTATTACTTTTGATTTCTGTGATTCTCATCTCATCTATAGGAAGGACAAATCAAATTTATTTTTATGTACAGTGGGAAGAGAATATCAAGAGAAAATAATGTCTTCCTATTTTTAATCACAGATTTTTTATCAAAAAAAAACTTAGATGTCACAAAATCAGAAGGTACCATCAGAGATTATACACTTAATCTCTGGTACCATGAATTCATTTCATGGATAATTCAACCTTAAATCCTGAGCAAGATGTTTTAACCTATTCAAAATAACAGATTCCCGATTTTTTCTAATTTTTTGGGTGAAAAGTTGAATAGATGTGACAAAATCAGGAGACACTATGAATTTATTTCATGGTATATCTTTCATATTTTTCAATATTTTTCCACAATTCCAGCAAGATTTTTTCTCTGCCAAAATAGCAATTTCTCCATATTTTTCTAATGATGAGGGTGAAAAATGGAAGACAAATATGTGGTTTAGTCCATCTTGACTTGCCTCATTCTTTAGAACCTGAGTTAGAAGGTTGAGATCCAGATTGACAAATCTGCATTTCTTTCCATTGAATGATGAGTAAAAAATTCATGATTATAAGTTATAAGTTAGTAATTAAATAGTAATGAATTATGGCATATTTAAAGTTTGAAAAAAATAATTTTTCAGTTATGGTTCACCTAGTTTGACATGAAGCTAGCAGAGCTGTTGGTTTTTTTTTATGAAAGAAGGGTTGCAATTTTGCTAATGTGGTAATAAATAAGTAATAAACTATTAACTTATTGATGGCTCTATAGAATGTTTAATAACATGTGATCAGAGTTTTGGTTCTGATAGGTTGAGATCGACATTGACAAATTGGCGTTTTTTTCATCAAATGATGACTAAAAAATTCATGATTATAGTTATAAGGTAGTAATTAAACAGTAATACATTATTGTATATTTAAAATATTCCAAGAAATGAATTTTTAGCTATGTTCTGCTAGGTTGACATAATGGTACATATACAGCGTGTCTCATTTCAAACGGCTCCCCCTCTATATCTCAGCTATTAGTGTGATCTTTACCAAAGGGCCACGCACTTTTTCTATATAAAAATGGCGTTCCGTCGAATTTTCCAAATTTTTGGTGCATGATAGTACTCGACCTACTGATCAAATATGCCGAGTCCCTACTCAATCCTATGACTAGTTTCCGAGATACAGGGTGACGAAGTTGAAAAATGTCCCCTTTTTCTCGGCCTATATCTCTGAGATAGGACAAACGAATTCCAATTTTTTGCGAGTACATTTTGGTTTTGCCCTTGAGCGCAAGAACCTTATAGGTATATGATGAAAACTGATTATCATTACAGGGTGATTCACATTTCAACTAATGTGTTTTTTTGGATATCTGAATATCAATGCTACAAATTGATAACAATTACAAAATGAGAATTATAGCCAAGTATGCTCTCCTTACATCAGTTGAATTCGTAAAATGTAATAACTATGCTTGGTGTTTCATAAATGCCGTTGATTGCATAATTTATCTATCATATCTATCTATATATATATCAGAAAACCAAAACGTACTTGTAAAAAATTGGAATTTATTTGTCCCATCTTAGAGATATAGGCCGAAAAAATGGGGGCATTTTTCAACTTCAACACCCTGTATCTCGGAAACTAGTCATAGGATTGAGTAGGGACTTGGCATATTCGATCAGTAGGTCGAGTACTATCATATACGAAAAATTTGGGAAATTCGACGGAACGCCATTTTTTTATAGAAAAAGTGCGGGGTCCTTTGTATTGGTATGAATGATCATCAATATGACCAGTTCTTCAAAGACAAACATCATTTCAGACAGTGCCGTGCATTTTTATTGAAATGAATAGGGGTCAGTTTTTTATTAAATCATATTAGGCATTTTTTCACAGGAAAACTGACCTCATAATATTGTTCTTCATGGTTTCAAAACCAAAAAAGTGGATTTTCATAAGATGCCTATGAAGGGTTTCAGAAAAACCGGCACATCTGAACAGCATTCTTGCGAACGTAATAATTATTTACTGGGAGGTAGTGAGTTCAACATAAAAAAGTATAACTTCTTGCTTTTCCTTCCAAATCAGGATTTTCCACCTACCAGAGCTATTGAACGTTCCAAAATTCGTAGTTGATTTGAAGTCACTATTAATTCGAGACTGGAAATGAAAAAAATGGAGCCAATCCTGTTAACTCTGAATTAAGGTATTTTTTGCATATGGAGGTTCGAAAGCATCAGGAACAATAATATGAGGTTAGATTTCCTGTAAAAAATGCCTAATACGATTTTATGAAAAATCGACCCCTCTTTAGTTCAATAAAAACGCACGGCACTGTCCAAAATGCTGTGCATCTCTGTAAAACTGATCATATTGATGGTTATTCATACCACACCAAATTTGGTTGGAATCGTATGACTAATAACTGAGATATAGAGGGGGGCCGTTTAAAGTGAGACACGCTGTATATGTAAATTTGGTAATGAACTAGTAGGTACTAAATTAGTAACAAATTAGAAATGTTAACGTTCCCCACAGCACAGAGGGAACGTTTCCCCCTTCACATCACAACCTACAGATATTCAGACTCCTTCAAGATTATCAGGAAGAAACTACATGGATGGGATAGGGAGTAATAAATAAAGCCTTCTGTATACTTTTTTCAATGACATATGATGGTCCTGGAGAGAATATTTTTTGAGTGATATACCTATATATTTATTTTTAGTCATTTTAAATTTTTTGTAAAGGTTACCTCACATTTTATGAAGGAAACTGGCTTGGGATTTGAAGAACATATCTCCAAAATAAAAGTAGTATCAAGATAGTATTCAGCGGCATCTAACGCGAAAATTAGCCATAGCGGTTCTTTGGAAAAATTGATGTTGTTGATTTGGACTCTCATTTGACTACAACATATCAAAAATTGAGTCAATTCAACGGGGGGTACTTTCCCCTATGCAGAATTCAAGTGATACACACTGTAGATAAATACAATTGAATCATATTCTATAGAACCGTAGATCATGTTGAAGTTGTATTTTTATTTCCGCTTTCAGTAAATAGTTTTTGAAATAATTTATTATTTCTAATAAATGGATAATAAATAAGTAATCAACTTAAAAATGTTTTTAGGAGGTATAACATATATTTTCTTACATTTTGCCATTCTTGAATTATTTCAAATTATGCATTCTTGGTGCAGATTTTTTACAAAAATCTCTCATGGTGAGGACTTTGACACTTTTGTCTTGACGTTTTTCGCGCTTTTTGTATATTAGAGTACGGACACTGGACAAGCAGTGAAAGTCAAACATAACCACAAACAATTCTTGTTTTTTTGAGGTAGACCATATTATGTAAATGAAAAAACTTCACAAACGATAAGCTTTCCACAAAATTTTTAATCACACGACATGTTTCGCTAACACAGTAGCTTCATCAGGTGAAAAACTGGTAAAATGAAATAAACTAACCTTGGCTTGCCTAACTTTTATATATCCTACTTTCCCAATCTGAAGGATTAGAATTACCTGTGGAGAAGTTTAATAAACCTTCATTTTCGGAAAATGGGCACAATATCTACATTAAAATACGTTGTACCGGATTAACTTGAAAGGGTTGATAGCAAATACATGTTATGGGAAGAGTACATCCATATATCTTTCTTTGTCTTTCATTTTTGAATGAGTGTTCATAGCGTCTCCTCGAGTATATGGAATGATATGGCTGAAGGATCTTGATGGAGGTCGATGGTCAGTTGTATGTATGGGTATACCAAGAAGTACATATACTATTACCAAGAAATGATAAGAAACTGAAAACTCAAGTATCTACTTATACGTTCAGTTGAATAAATTGTCGATCACAAAAGTTCAGAATGGG